CATTGCAACCCCGCGGCCAACAACCACCGACGTCTCGTCGGGACCAACCTGTTCCTCTCGCCCTCGACGAGGCGCGGCCGTTCGTTTCACCTCGAGGTGGAACGAACCACCTTTCGCGTCCGTGTTATTCCCTCGTTTAAGCATTCACGTGATCGTAACCAATTTGCAGTGAGAAGTGGCTCGAGAACGCGACGCAGACCGAAGCGGCTCGGCGCGGCGCGGCGCGAGCTGCGACCGCCGCGCCGCAACACGCTGAAATCGTTAGCGATACGCGCGCCTTATTGAATCGATCGTTGTCGCCTCCTTCGCTTTTCCACCGGGGACAAGTTATTAAATTTACATTCGGTTGGACCGACTCGATGTCCAGGTAATTACCTGGCAAACTACCGAGCCGCGTAACAGCCACGCCAAAACGAAACGAAACGATCCGTGTTGTCGGGACCGGCTCGTCAGCGGGCTAACGACTCGCGTTCGCGTCTCGCGTGATGGACAAGTCATGGCTGTAACTGCGACTGGCCCTAGGAAACGATTTCGTGCTGACTCGGTTCGGGTACCTCCCATTCAATTATTAAATGTGATGAAGTTTTGGACGGAAGGGAGATTGCAACTGTCCGAGGACTCCGACGGGGGTATCATTCATTCAATTATTAACTACGACGGAGACTACGGAAGAAGATGAAGTTAGAATTGCTGGAACACTCCTTCCTGTATAATTTAATTCGATTCTAAGAGAGAGAGAGGGAGAGAGGATGGAATCAGAAATGCCCGAGGTTCCGAGAAGAGCGGTACCTCGTCTTCGAACTGGACAGGTGTATCTTGTTTCCAGGTGCTCGAGAAAAATCCGGGTGTATCGCTTTACGGTTTTCCATCATCGATGATTGAAATATCTGCGGGTCTCGGATCTCTCGACGAGATCAAGATGCGTGCTCTTCGTGGCCACGGTACTGGAGGGCAGCGCGCGGCACACGCGAGACCGGAATCGCGTTAAACCGTCTGACAGAGCACAAGTCATTAGATCAAGTTAAGGCCAAGAGAGTCCGGCGCGGCGGATAGCCCGCAAAACGTTGATCCGGCCGATGATCACGGAGATTAATCTCGGCTCACCGCAACACGCCAGCGTATCCAGCCCCTTTCATCTTTCATTCCATCGGTGCGACGACGTTGCCCCTTGTCTCCCGGTGCGTTTGCTGACGCGTCTTCGAGCGTCAGTCTTTCTCACGCATACTCGTATGCACACGCACGTGCTAGCCGTTCTCTCGCGCTCGCACTCGCCTTCTATCGTTCTGTGCTCGTAGGTCTCCACCTCCCAGCTCGCTGTCTTCGTCCTCCTCTTCTTCGTCTACCGAGTCTCTTTCCCTTCGTTTTCTTTCCATCTTGGTTCGCCTCGCCCCTTCGGGTCGCGCGTAGCCTTCTTCTTCCGCGTTCTTCTAACCTGCCAATCGTGTGCTTTCGACGAATACGTCCGAGAAGCGGTAATGGACTGCCGATCGCGCGCAGCCATCGTCTTTTCTCTTCCCTCTTCCAACCGGAATTGTAATCGTCGGACCTTTTTGCGGAGTGGTACCCGGACGGTGCTGCGTCGGCCACTTAGAACCTCGTTCGTACGGTTTACACCCTGTCTTGTTCTAGCACGCCGCTCGAAAATTGTGTAAATCGCCGGTGAAAATTGCGAACTTTGCAGGCAAACGCGACCACCTTCGAACCGCGTGACCTGTGATCCGAATAAACGGGGGTGCGATTCGGGGGGAAACGCGTGACGATGTAAATCAGAAGCGGACTAAATGTAAATTAGACGCGTCGGTGTTCCAAATAGCTGCGACAGTCGCTGTAACGGGCATCGTCCGATCTAAATTTAGGGTCTGGCCCATTTAGGCGTGGCCCTCGAGCTAAATCGTTGCAGTTTCTGCTCCTCCCCGTTGCCCAAAATTCTACTATTTTAGCAAATCGCGGGACGCAGCTTCCGAATGAATTTCTTGCGGATTGATTTATCGTATCGTTTAAAAGTCTCTCTGATATCGGTTCGTGGCTGTTGTCTGCCGGATCCCTGAACGTTTATATCCACTTACTGTTAGTTGCCGGCTCGGTGGGAGAACGACTGCGACGCTTCTTCCTATTTATGGTGTGCGACGCTCGCTGTCGTTGACATTTAAACCGGGAGAGAGCGCGATTCTTTTTTTCCACCGTTGGAGGGCCGCGTGAGATTTCCAAGCCCGTTCGAGAACAATCGCAGCGTAAATCGCCGCAACAAGGTCTTCGGGACAATGAGTTCATTCAGGACGACACACGTTGCCACTCGGTGTATCCTGTTTGTCTACGCGGTCTTGTTGCGTCGATGATCCGCGCAGATACGACTAATAGCGGCAAGAAATTCCGGGGAACTCGCGTGAATGAGCCATTGTGCCTGCTGCCGGCGAGATTCGATCGAATCTTCGCTCGGATAAGCGGTTTTTTTATTTTTATTGACGAGGGGTGTAGCTGGAGAAAGACGGTCGAAAGCGCCCTTGAACCTCTGATGGACCGATCGATAGCTCGCTGTGAGAAAACGTGTTGCAGCGAGTCTTTCGCGCCTTCGCCAAAACGCTGTTTAATCGTTGGAGATATTCGTGCTGGACGTTCTTCTCGATTTCTCTGCTAAATCTTCGTTCGAAAATTCTGAAATAATTCTGACACGTTGTTCGTACCTGGTTACACGTTGTAGAATTTTTCTCGATTTTTAGATCGCGAATTCTGGGTCTTAGGGTCAAGAGTTTTGCAGACGCTTGTCTATCGTCCGTTTGATTCTCATCTTCTCCGTTAAGTATCGTCAAAAAGTTCCGAAATAATTCCGATGCGGTACAAGCACTTGTGTTAAAGAATTTGGCATGTCGAAGAATTTTTGCAGCTTCTGAATCCCATGACGAAGAGTCGTATAGTTTCATAGGAGTCTCGATGACGAAAACGTCACCGTCTATTGTGTGCTTAGTTTCGTAGTATGTATTATGTTTACTGTGGGGAACGGTGCAATGCTCGGCAAGTATCATTACTCCTCACCGTCGTTTTTATTCTCCGGCTCTCGGACCTCGTGATCTCCCTTCTTATTTTTTCCGTTCCGACACGCACACCGTCCCGCACGACCACGCGAAGAGACTCGGCTGAACGGACGGAGGAATAATTTTGCAACGAGGGAGACGCCCGGCTGGCGTATTAATTTATGTGGATCGCGTGACGGACGTCCCAGGACCGCTTCGCTTATCGTCGGAAACTCGCCTTTCTCCGAAACGCGGACGCCTCGGAACGGATATTTAATTATTCCTCTCGCATATGTTTATGCGCCGAGTATCCTTCCGGCCCGTGACTCACTCGCCCCGAGATTCTCCTACCAGTTGCATCGCTGCTGAATCTTCATCTTTATCGAATTGTTCGTCGATTTCGTCGGGCCGGAGGAAGATCTCCACGGATAAAAATAGCGAATCTCCTCTACGCGAATTAAGTCCGGAGTTGCGATTATATTTCGATCTCCGGTAGTAGAATAGCTCATAGATGCCGATGGGTCTCGCCGTCGATACAGACGTTGAATAAAACATGAAGCGTCGCGTCGTCGTCGAAATAATAACAGGGAGATTACAGGCTGTCCGATGTGGACGCTTCGTAAATACCGTGTCCCATTTAACGTCTACGTGACAACGTAACGGCGCGGCGCGATCTTGCTAGGATTCGTCTGCGCGTTCTTTCACCTGCTCCTCGAAGATGTTAGGCGCGAGCGATCGTGCCGAAGCAGCCCGGCCGGGGAGAGCGTTCTCCGTGCTTTTTCATCGGAACCAGGAATTAACGGCCTCGCGGCGGCCCTGTTAATGGAATGGAACTCACGTTCCGCGGCATTATGCAGAAGGCGTCGCCCCGGAAAAAAGGGAAAAACGATCCGCGAATAATTAGCGATGGTTCGGGGCTGCGTGTGCACCGGGTAATTAAGAGGGGAACGGGTGATTTATCGTTCGCCCGGGCATTTACGTAACGATCCGACGACCGTGGACACGGTGTCCGAACGATTCTTGAACGGTCCTCCGAAGATCCTCGCGATATGGGCGAGAGCCTCGGGCTCTTCCGACGCGCATCCACGCGAGCGGATCGTAGTCGGTTTTTGTCACCGCGCTACTTCGCTCGTAAAATTCCCAGTTGTCTCGTTGCCAGGAGTCGTCACTTTTACGGTCAATGATATTTTTCTTTGCCGCGTTTCTTTGCGCCGCGCAATCCGCTTTACGAGCTGCCAGGTGCCCGTCCAGGGGCTGCTTTCGCGTGTGTCCGCACCGGCAAGCCACCGAGGAAGCCTCCTTTGTCACGTCTACTTCATCTTTTTCATCGAAATTGCGCGTCGCGCATGAAAAGGCTTGTTCGATACAAAATTCGCTAGTCATTTTTCGATAGTCGCGACGCAGCAGACCGCAAATTTTCAAACGTATCTCCCTTTATTCCGCACATCGGTGGAGTACACGGTGGTCGTGACTATCGAGACCGAGGCTGAACGTGACTGGTAGGGTTTACGAATCGTAAGGGCTGATGCGACGAGACGAGAATCGCGACGATGACGTGTAGCCACGGGAAGGACAGAGTTCGATGACGAGACGTCGGAGCTCGAGGATGAGTAAGGCGAGGCTGAAATCACCGTCTCGTGGAAGATTTTTGACCCTTTTAATCGGCCTATGCATAACTTTCGACACGTAACGCCGTCGGTATCCAACGTGTTGAAGCCACCGTACTCGAGGCCGTAACCGATCGAATCCGACGAGTCTGGCTCGACTTTCCGGCATAAACGGATTCACCTCTCCGGGCGCTAGCTCCATCCACTCTCGCTTTTAATCAGTCGCGTGTAATTACTTGCCGAGCGTCGCTCCGGAGTTTCTGATTATTCCGTGGCCGTCTTTGATGTGCGCGAAACGAGACGCGAACCGAAGCCACCGCGCCTCCTCTTAGGCAGCGCACGACCGGCACCCGTTCTAACATTCCCGGGATGTTTTCTGTTTCAGATTACTCAGCTACACGCTCCCACTGTTGCTGCCAATGGTGGCCGCGATCGGCACCGACCAGTCCGCCTCGAATTTCGAGACTGTTCACACCAGCAACGCGGCGATCCTGAACCGTCTCGGGCTGGTTCCGCTCCAGATCCCCGACGGCCACCATAAGAAACGTTTGGCGGGGCCGGAGCCGCCGGGGCTGGGTTCTCAGACGAGGATCCACCAGCCGTATAGTCGTCGTCACGGTCACCGGGACAGCCACGTGTACATCGTGAAGCTCCCCGCCAGTCCGCCGTACTACACCATCACGAAGCCGCACAAACCGCTCAAAGACGAGAAGGTGACGAAGACCGGGCCGAACTTCCCGGTCGGTTTCCAGGGAAACGGCAAGCCGGCGAAGATCTACCATTGGAACCTGCCGATGATGAGGAAGATCGGCGAGAAGAAGAGGCTGCAGGCGCAGCTGAAGATGGACCAGGCGAAGAAGAAGCTGGAGGACGCGAAGAAGCACGGAGGAACGAAGAACTTGAACGAGGACGCGCCGAAGGGAGCCCAGAAGGCTGTCCACGAGGCTGCGCCGGAGAACAAGAGATATTTCGGCGCGGACAACAACAGGATCTCCGTTCGTCAGAAGCAGAGCGCCGCGAAGCACGTCAGGAACAACGACAAGAGGCTCAGCTATCCCGACCTTGAGGACAAGACCGGCGAAACAGCGAAGAAGAGCAACGGCGGCAACGCGGGAAACAAGACTTACAGGTTGAACGATTCCGGCGTGCACAGGATCCACTTGACGAACGAGCTTCACGGCTCGAGGAACACCGCCAAGGTGAAGAAGCACCGGAAGAAGGCGGCCATGTCCTACTACGCGCCGATCTCCAATAAATCCGGATCAACGAGCATCCACAAGAACTTCCCCGGGAACGGCAAGCCGAAAGCGTTCTACGTGATGGAGAAGAGTCGCAAGCCCGTCTACTATCATCCCCTTTTACCTTAATCGATCTGCTCCGAGCCCGCGTGTCCTGTGTGAACATGTGTGTAACCGCGTCTCTCACGTGTCAACTGCCCGTGAACTCTCTGTTAGCCTAAGTCCTAAGTAGTCGCGTATCGCCACGGCCGGACAGAGGCCGCCAGCACGATTCGAATCCTTTCGGAGAAACGGGAGATAGATAGACGCAGAGAGAGAGAGAGAGAGAGAGAGAGAGAGAAAGAGACAGAGAGATAGAGCGACAGGGAGAGAGAAAAACAGAGACTACGATCTCTCGGTTAGTCGTCCTCGCTCGAGGTTACAAGCATCCTGCTGCAAAGCCGTTCCACTTCCGTTACAATTGTTAGGAGGTTAGTCTTAGGTCCTCTCTCTCGAAAGGAGAACTTAAATTACGGATAGATTAAGGGATTTTGCATCGACCGCGACCGGATGTCGTCACAGTGTTCCCTCTGCGCACGCACATTATTTTCGAGTGCTCGCAACAAACAACGACCCGCGTAAATTGGTCCAGCAGGGCTCAAAATAAAGTGGAACCTATCCGCATCTGCATTTTGAATTTTTTTGGAACAGAAATTGTGAGAAGGAGGGATCGAGGATCGTGTACGGAGGGAATACTGTGCTCGGTGATTGGTTTCGGGGAAGGAGACGACGTTCGACCGTTGTTCCATCGCGGGCCAGGCGTCGACTGTCGCCTCCGGTCGCTACGTTTATCTTGTACAATATATTTTTCTAAGTTTAACAGATACTTTTCTATCGTACGATGTGCCGTTTCACGCTCGTCGCCAACGGTCCCTCCGACGAGACGAGACGCGGCGGGCGAAGACCACGGGGACGCGAGGAGAAACGGGCGCTGGCTATGTCATAGTTGTGCGCGCGTGGAAGAGTAATGGTGCCCGGTCTCCTCTCCGGAGCGATCGTTCACGAGCGAATTCTTAAGAAAGACTGGACAATATAACTTCTCGACAGGATGTACATGCCTTTTCTACACGTATATAGCCGCGCAAGGATTTTTACTGGTTCTTTTATCGCTAAATTTTGCATACCGCGAGAGCAGCATTTTTTATATTCTTATATTATATATATATATGTATACACACGTTATAGGAGGAAAGCTCAATTGTATCGAACCATGGCATTCAGTGTAGCGAATAAAAGTATTTATAGTACTTTGTACACGAGCATCCGTCGGCCTGTGCACGCGCATAACCGTCTGCTCCCGTTCGCGGGTGGTCGCGTCGCGTCCCAGCGTCGGGCAAAGTGCGATCCAATTAATTCGCTATCCAATTAACGATTGCGATCTTGTTATAAGCGGAGCAATTACAAGCAACTTCGAATCGGTAATGAATTTTTTTTATCGACGGCCGATCCTGCGAAACGGAATAGGATCGCTGGTCGAGATTTATTCATTAAATTAATCACCGTCACAATGGATTACTCTCTCGATTACGATCGAATAATAATACTGTAAGTGCAGAATGATCATTCAATCACTGTCACCGGTCCACGATATTGTTTTTCTCGTTTTCGTTGCAGGATTTTGGAGAGCGGTAGAGCTTAAGAAGACCTCTATCTCCCCGCAAATGAGAACCGCTTGTAACCCGTTACCACGCTTTTTCGATGATATCAAGCGGCGAGCTCCGGGCCCCAGGGGCCACATTTTTCGGTAATTGGCCGTACGTAACTCGAAAATGACAAGTAAGAACGTCTTCCTTGCTGTGCCGCTCGTCTCCGCGTTTACCTGTCGCGTTTCCAATATCTATTATTTCGGAAATGGTACGTGATCGATTCTCTTCTGAAACCATCTACGAGGAACATACGCTCATCTGGCTCTGTTCTATTAATTCACAAATTTCAGGACGAAGAGCAGAGCTTGCCCGAACATGGACAACGAGTGCAGGAAGTATTCGATCGCGTCTACGGCTCTTAAATTACTTTTCCAGAAAGTTTCCGTGCATTTTCCGATATTTGACAAATTGTCGACGCTCAAACCGTACGAATCTCTTGTCAAATTCCCGCAACGATACTTACTTCGAGGCTTCTAGTTTTTGCTATCGTTTCATCGAAATTATGCCAGTCGAAACGTCGACAAATCGTCGAGATCTTCCGGCGAGCCCGAAGTGGATCCATAAACTGATGATCGTATAACAGTTTCCAAACAGATTCTAAAGTAGATTTTCCCCGCTGGAAAATTCGTCTGGCGCTCCCTCGGATTTAATCCGAGCGGATGAAATTCTTATTCACAACGATAAGGAAGCAATCCCGGGGAGAAGACGGTTTTCTCCCGAGACGCGCGCCGCGCCGCGCCGGTATTATCGTTCAGATCTCGGAGTCGGAATCCCTCCTCGAGTAAGTAGCATGGATCGCAAAGTATTCCCGTAACCAGACAGGATATAATCCCGGGCGGACTCGCGTCCCGAGTCCCGAGTCAATATTTGTGTTACGTGAGTGGGGGAGAAACATATGAAACACGTTTTCCTGTCGACGCAGCCCGGGGATCGCATCGGCTCGAGAAAACCATCGAGCTCTCCTCGGGAAAAGAAGGTAAAACCTTTCACGGATAAGCTCCTCGGAGCACTCGTGTATTTTCTTCACATATGTACAACGTAGAAAATGGAGGTGGTTGGAGTGGGGGGCCCTGACAACGTTATTCCGGTAACAGGGAGGTGTATAAATATGACTTGGATCTGCAAATAAATACGCCATTAACCCCGCTGTTCCCCGGAGACTCGGTCGCAGTGATTCGCGGTCGTATCCGATAATTAAATTTCATTGCTAGGCTGATTTCCGCGCGAATTAAATATTTTCTTCGTCCGATTGCAGCAAGCAGACATCGGGCGGAAAATATTTTCAATGCTTCTACCGTTTGAAATTGCTCCATTTTGCTCGGTTCAACATTTTTGTAAGCTTGCGTTCGAAGCGCAGAGAAATTCGATGTACGATCGAGGGGAACAGCGGAGTGAAACTGTCAATAATGAACAATGAACAAACAACGTGTTAGGCTAGACGCTTGAGCAAACAGTCTTCGTATCGGCATGATCGCGTCGCGATACGTGCTCGTTTTTTTATCGGCGACGCGACCAACGCGAAACCCGTCGGTCTCGTTAATTAATTGACGCATAAATAGGCGTGCGAGTGTCTATACTTTACAAAATAACAGCTATACATTTCTAGAAATAATTACAGGTCTCGGCGGCCTTCTCGCTCGGAAACGGGACTTAATGACACGCTCCAATTGGAGGCGGACAATTAATATCGAATCGTTGAAACGACGCACACGAGCCGGGAAACTGTGCCCGACCGACTTCGGGACGATCGATTTTACGATCGCGATGCGCGCCGTTTCGATTGTTATTGTTGCACAGCAGATTCCGACGTTGGGTTCTGCCTTTCCAAGTTGCTCCGGTTGCTACCTGGTCTCCGCGTACGAGAAACGGATAATCGTTTTCCCATTTATAAACGAACGGGGACGCTCGGACGTCCGTGTAAATTCGCATTGGCGGTGGGCGGGTGTAATTAAAAGGCTATCAAACATCTCGCGGATGGAGAACGAGTTCCATGCGGAGCGCACGCCTTCTTAACCTGTTCCGTGAAAAATCTATACAATAAATAACAAAGCTGCGCCACCAGCAGATGGTTTCGAGCCGTGTCCCCCGGGACGGACGATTTAATAGGATATTAATTGCACCACCGCGAAACGGTTTAGACGGATAAATACGCGAGCTAAGACGCTAAACGTTTACAAACGACTCTTCCAACTATCCGTGGATGATAAATGGCATTTCTAATCGGACGCGTGAACGGATTACGCGGAGTGTAAACGACGAGCACCACGCGTGCCGAGCAGACGCCTTTTCGCGAAGCATCGTAATCATTGTGTATGGCAGACCGGTTCGGACCTCGGGGGGGAAAAAAGGTCCGAAACGCGAGCGGCCCGTTTAAGGGAGGATTAATTATGCTAACGATAGTACGCGTCGAATTTTTCTCTGTCGGCTCACCGACGGCCCTCCTCCGATCATACGTAATAATCGACGCTCTTACACGATAATCGTCGCGGTACAGCGAGTCAAAAATGCATTGGCACCACCGTCGCTTTTTCTTCTGGCTACTTAAACCCGCGAGAACAGCGTGTCGATGAACTCTCTAGCCTCTTTGTATTCCGCTCCGCGAGGAACGAATACGCTGGCTTCGAAACGTTCGTAATTTACAATGGAAAAAGATAGCGATTCGCGGAGACGAGAAAGGTGCTGATAACACACTGTGGAAACAATGAATTAGAGTAAAAGATCGTTTTTATCATCGAATCGTCGTAATTGTACAGTCGGCGAACAACCGTTCGAACGGTAAAAATGCGTCGAGACCGCAGACCACGCCCAATCCGAACTCGTTAACGTCTCTAAGCCAGCGTCCGCTTCCGCAAGAAACACCGAGCAAGCCTTGTAACTCCATGGGTTGTCCTGTTCTCGCGGAAAGATCACAAACAGCCAATCTTTTGACCCTCTGCATCTCGTCGCAGAGTTATCACGAAGGCAAGGGCCGAAGAACCGCTCTCGAAGAACCCTAATCGTTCGGGTTCGACGAGAGCCTCCTCTCGCCCGGTTCGAGTCCCATCGAGAGATTCGCCGCACATTCGAGCACTTTCGCGTCCCATCAATCCTCGTAGCAACCCGGATTCGACGGGAGCAAGTCTCCGGCGCGGCGTCCGCGCGCGCGCGCGCGCACGCCCATCGAATCGAGTCTCCGCGGCAGCCGGTGATTTCGAATCGAGAATTCCTAGGATCTGCGGCCTCCGTGGCACGTTTCGGTAGCCGCGGCCGCGGCCGTGGCCGCCTCAATAGTACGAATTATCCTGCTGGTAGTCGGGATACTGAAGCTGCTGGCGGGCCGAGGTCGTGCCGTCGGGCTTCAGCAGGAAGAAGCTGGTCGGCTTGCCGTTGAACATGTACGGGCCCTTGTCCAGGTTGTTGACCAGGTCGTCGGGTCTCTTCGCCGGCTTCAGGTTGGTCTGCCATTGGTAGATGGACGTGGGCTTCCCGTTGCTCACGAACACCGGCGATAAGCTGTCCAGATTGGTGATGGGACTGTCGGTCGGCTTCTTCTGCTTCTTCTGCCAGTGATAGACGGCCGTCGGCTTGCCGTTGCTCACGAAATCGATGGGCAGCTTGATGAACGGGTTGTTGCCGGGCTGCTTCTGGTAGACGGGCTTCGGCCTGGACGGCTTGTGATAAGGGATTTGAGGTCGCAGGTTCGAGGTCGAGTACTTCGGGGGCTGCGAGATGTAGCCTAAGCCCGGGACGTACATGTACGGCGTGGGTGGCAGTCGGATGTAGAAGACGTTGCTCTCCTGGATCCTCTTGGCGTCCCCGGCCGCCGTCGCCTCGTCGTTCTTGTGGCCGTTTCGCGCGTAATCGGCGTCGTAAGGCACCGCCGGGAATTGCTGTGGCTGGGGCACGATCGGATAGTTGACGAAGATCGCTTTGTGCCTTCGGTTCTTCGATACTTTGTCCCTGCTGTCGCTCGGACGCCTTTGAGAGAGGCTCGGCTCGGGCCTGTTCTCCGCTTTATTCAGGACCGGCGACTGTAACGAGCCCCTCCAATCTTTCGTTCCACCGTCGGTCTTCTCTGATTGCTTTTTTGCCGGCCGATTCGTCGCGTCCTTGCCGGTGACAATCTCGGCTTCCGCGGGGACCTCGTCCTTGCTCCTGGCCAAGAAGTTTCGTCCGCTTGGCTCGGGCACAGGTGCTGCCATACCGGACGCTGCGATGGACACCAGCAGAACCAGCAACGTCCTCATGGTGTGACTGAAAAAAAAGGTCCAGTCATCTTCCGAAGCTTTTCTCTAGGGACCGCCAGTCGGCATTGACCCCTGGCTGCCGGTTCTCTACAGTGACTATCAAAATTTACGATGAATCCAGGGATTCCGACAGCAACTCGCGTTAAAAGGCCGTTAAACCCCGAACAAAATATTGCCGATATTCGGGCCGTTGTTACTTCGAGAGAAAAAATCCGAGGATAGTCTGTCTTGGCTTATTTTAAAGGAGAAACCCTTCGCTTTCGCCCCGTATATATTGATTTTATCGTCGCGTGCTTTTGTCCCACGAAACTGACATAAAAGTACGAGCACCTGTTCCTCGAAATTTTCACAAGCTCGAACACCTTTGCCGAGTTTAACAAATTTTTCTCGCCGCCGAAACCGTTTCGGACTTCGAGGACCGAGTCTACCGTACTCGAAACATCCGTGAAATTCGTTGTACGGTTTTATGTCGGCGCCGGCTGGCACCCGCAACGAGAACGTTACGCGTAAGATCGCACGCGGAAATCTCGTATTCGGAATCGAAACCGATTTCCGACGAACCTGTCGGTAGGGAATGAAATACGCCCAGGATCTCCGAGAGGGGAACCTTGTAATTTACTCTCGCGATACCGGTTAATCGGTGAAGATGTACGAATTATTGGCATCGCTAGATTACGCGTCTGTTCGCCGGGCAGCGATACCAGGCTCTTGTAAGCCGGCTTAGAAGAGTATTTACTATGCTTATGGACCCTTCGCAGGCGTCGGCATTCAGATTAAGTTATTAACAACTTTAACAGCGAGACGAATGATGCATGCCTGGTGAAATATCAGTGGTAGGTGGATATTTTCGCACCTCCCATCTTGTGCGGTCTCTGCGGCGTCGTATAATCTCCCTCGCAGGACATTACCTTCTAATTAAGCCGCCTTTATTACCGGAAGCGCGCGCAGGAGCTACGTTAATGTGACTTCCTGAAAGTGCTCGTAAGAACCCCACGATATTTGGATTTAACCCTCGGTATATGTATCCTGCTTTCTTGGGCCCCGAAGTGCACACTAGAATCTTGCTGAGAAGGCCGCGAAAATTTACTAAAATGCTTTTGAAGCTCCTGACAGAAGCAGGAGCTAATTGATACAGGCGCTAATTGAAACGGATGATGCAGAGTCCGCGTAGCGATTAAAATCTATCAAATGCTAATTCTCCAACGATTAAATGACGGATCTCTATCCGAGAAGCGACGAAGACCTAGTCAAGCCAGTTTGCCAAGTTGACTTCGAAATTGACTTCGAAGTTGACTTCGAGCAAGAGTGGCAGCATCGGCGATATCGGGACGGTTGGCGACGGTAAGTGTTAATCAAATAAAGTTGCTCGGTCGCAGACAGGACCGTATCAGCGAGCAACGAGCCAAAACAAATTATCGTCGATCGAGGCCGGACGTCCTTAAGGATAACTCGTTTTCTCAGGACACTCCGGCGGCTGTCCCTTGCCGCCGGCCCCCCCTGTGGCCACCCCGAGTCCCCCCCGAAGCCGCCCGGAGCCCTCCGGCGACTATTCTCCGCGGGCCGACATCGAATAAATCACGTTGCCGGTGGCAGCATAAGCGAAAACGAGGAAAAAGAGGAAAAGGAGGATTGTCGCGCGTGGTGCCGCCCGAGGGGGGCCACGGGGGGGCCTAGGGGGCTCGAAGTAGCGGACAGGATAGATACCGAGGACAAAGTCGGGGGATCCGGGCGGCATTTAGACGGCGAGCGGCGCGTGCATTCCGCGCGTCGAGTTTTCTTCTGGTGTTCGCGGCGCGAACGCGTACGCGAACGCGAACCCTCGGGGAAACAGGAGCACCAGGAATGGTAATTGAAAGCGGGTTATAAAATCGTCGAGTCACGCATTCCTGCCGCGAACTTCTCGAGGGAAGACCTTGCAGAAGGTCGGGCTAAGGTGGGAAAAGAAACGTCGGTGTTCCGCGGCGAACGAGAGAAACGGACGAAAGAGGAGGAGGAGGAGGAGGAGGAGGAGTGCGATTTCGTAACAGAGCAACCGCCTCGGTTTTATCAAGGTGTCGTTAATGGTACTGGTCGATCGTTAATTGGACCGCCTGCATCAAGGGTGGCCTCCGAGCCGTTTCTCGCCGCTATGCAAATGCCCGATCGAATCTAGCGTGTAGCTGGCGCTTCCGATCGCCGTAAAAACCTCGCCATCGCGCCGGCCAGCCGGATCGGTAACGAACCCCGTAATCAACGGATAATATCTGACAGCCTGCCGGCCATAGATCGCCGCGATGACAGCGGCGTTCGTCGGCCGACTCCTTTTCTTCCTTTCGCGACACTCGGATCTGAGTAATTAAAAGCGTGGTTCGATCAACGGCCGGCCGGTTTGAAAACGATTCTCGTTCCTCGGGAAACGAGCAGCCCCTCGTCTCGAGTCGGGAGACGCGGTCTTCGGGCCCTATCGCGGGTGTAATTGGAGAGGGTAATGCATGGGATAATCGTGGCCCATCATCATTACGATTAAATACTGAAGGATTGTTACGGGATAACCCGTTATTAGCGTCGCGGACCTCCTTTTGCCAGTTTGTCTGTCCGCTGTCAGTAAGGTAAACCGACTGCCTTTTCGCCCGACGGTGAGCACGCCGGCTGCAGGTACCTGTGTTATCAGCCACTGGTCTTATTTCAGTCCCGTGCCTGCCGTCTACCGCCTCCTCCGGCTGACAGGCTGGTTCTAGCACGCGACGCCTATCCTCTCCTTTACGATACACTGTGGAGACTCTCTGTACCCTGTAAGTACACACTTTGTGATAATCCTCCGCCAGGGATGGTAATTGTCCTGTTTACTTTCCTCCGGTTTTTGCTCCTGCGCCTCGTTCAACGCGATCCTTCTAATTCTGACACGTTATCTGCCAGCTATTTCCACTTATTCGATCACCGTTCCATTTTGTCGATTTCTCATCGGTAACTGGAGCAAATTTCATCGCGTTCGTCCACTCGAATCCCGAGTAAATGACTAGCACGCGGTGACGGACGCGTCGTCAGGAGCTCGCTTATTCGATCGTGTTTCTGTTTCATCGATCTGTCAGGGGTTCGCCATGGTTAAATTCGTGAAACTCGTCTACGCGGATCCTGTGGAAATTGGTTAGATATTGCGAGAGACTCGTCGGAATTCTTTAGTATAAAATCTTGGTGGTGAAATTCTGTCCCATCAGAATGTTGCATCGGAACGTTTCATCAGAATGTTTCATCAGAAAATTCCATCAGGATATTCCATCAGAAAATTAAGAGGACGGGTTGAGAGATGAACCGCGTTCTGGACTGAAGTCCGAGTAAACCGGCATCGGCCTGTCGCCTCGTCGGTCCCTCGTCAAAAGGTGCTCCTTAAAAATGTCCTCTTAGCCTCTTTTCGGGCCTGTGCTCCCGTTCTCTCGGTCGTTTTTCACCGTCGCCGCGAAACGAGACCCCCGGTGCACCGTTACTTTGCCGAAATAAAACGCCGGCATATGCAGCGGGCAGCGCTGCCTTGTTTCGTGGACAGCTTTGTCAGGAAGCCCACTGTGTCATGGATCGTGACAGGAAAGACGAGCCGAGAATCGGGACGTTTCTGGGATAAGGATTCGACGATGGGGCACGTGGAACGATGCTTCGTCACGTGTCATTAGGATCGACTCTTCCGGTGTACCGTTTTCTGCCTGAACAACGCTTCTACCTGTCGGTAATTACGCTTAATTGGATAGGAGTTCGTAAAACGTGTTCGAGCGCGCGCCTCTTCGATTTTTGGACGGCCACGCGGTCGTTTCTCTTCTGTCTCGCGCGAAAGGTTCTAGCAAAATACAGTAATGTCTCCGTAATTGACGTTCGGATTGTCTACAAAAATGGTCAATTTGNACGCCTATCCTCTCCTTTACGATACACTGTGGAGACTCTCTGTACCCTGTAAGTACACACTTTGTGATAATCCTCCGCCAGGGATGGTAATTGTCCTGTTTACTTTCCTCCGGTTTTTGCTCCTGCGCCTCGTTCAACGCGATCCTTCTAATTCTGACACGTTATCTGCCAGCTATTTCCACTTATTCGATCACCGTTCCATTTTGTCGATTTCTCATCGGTAACTGGAGCAAATTTCATCGCGTTCGTCCACTCGAATCCCGAGTAAATGACTAGCACGCGGTGACGGACGCGTCGTCAGGAGCTCGCTTATTCGATCGTGTTTCTGTTTCATCGATCTGTCAGGGGTTCGCCATGGTTAAATTCGTGAAACTCGTCTACGCGGATCCTGTGGAAATTGGTTAGATATTGCGAGAGACTCGTCGGAATTCTTTAGTATAAAATCTTGGTGGTGAAATTCTGTCCCATCAGAATGTTGCATCGGAACGTTTCATCAGAATGTTTCATCAGAAAATTCCATCAGGATATTCCATCAGAAAATTAAGAGGACGGGTTGAGAGATGAACCGCGTTCTGGACTGAAGTCCGAGTAAACCGGCATCGGCCTGTCGCCTCGTCGGTCCCTCGTCAAAAGGTGCTCCTTAAAAATGTCCTCTTAGCCTCTTTTCGGGCCTGTGCTCCCGTTCTCTCGGTCGTTTTTCACCGTCGCCGCGAAACGAGACCCCCGGTGCACCGTTACTTTGCCGAAATAAAACGCCGGCATATGCAGCGGGCAGCGCTGCCTTGTTTCGTGGACAGCTTTGTCAGGAAGCCCACTGTGTCATGGATCGTGACAGGAAAGACGAGCCGAGAATCGGGACGTTTCTGGGATAAGGATTCGACGATGGGGCACGTGGAACGATGCTTCGTCACGTGTCATTAGGATCGACTCTTCCGGTGTACCGTTTTCTGCCTGAACAACGCTTCTACCTGTCGGTAATTACGCTTAATTGGATAGGAGTTCGTAAAACGTGTTCGAGCGCGCGCCTCTTCGATTTTTGGACGGCCACGCGGTCGTTTCTCTTCTGTCTCGCGCGAAAGGTTCTAGCAAAATACAGTAATGTCTCCGTAATTGACGTTCGGATTGTCTACAAAAATG